CTCAAGGATAGGGATACATGACGATAGCGAAAATTGTACAAAGTCGCCATTTCCGGCATCATCTTAGGTGGAAAAATACCTAGAGACAAAATCTTAGGTATGAATTAGGAAAGTGAATTAATAAAGGTAAATATTCAGCATTATAGTCCGAAAGTTCTAAAGCCAGAAATCCACACTGGTCTTCCTTGAGAAGGCCGGGAATCTGCGTTGGTCTTCCTGGAGTCCACGCTGGGCTTACTCGAGGCCGAGAGTCCGTCAAGTCTGCACTGGGCCTCCACAACGCTGTGAGCCCATTGAGTCCATCTGAGGACTGGAGGTAAGTTGAGGCAGAGGATAAAAAAGAAACAACACGACAAGAGGGAAAAGAAAAGGAACAGATGGAGCAGACAAGCTCTGGCTTAGAAACCCTACTCCGGGCCATCCTCAAGAGATCTGATTCTTTTTTTCACCCTGGTCCTAAATGATAAGCTCCTTCACATGAGTTTGGGTCCCTACATTTTCAACTCAATGCCCAGCAGAAACAATATTCAGCATCTAGTCTATAACATCACTTCAGAATCAGGTGTTTCAGCGAGCTTCTCACTCTTCTAAACACCAGAGAATATAGGCCCATTATACTCAGTCTGTTATCATAAAATAGCCCTCCATCTCAGGGACCAAGTTAATGAGGCTTCACTACACTGCTTCCAATATACTTGCCAGTGGTCTCTTAAATATGGTGACTAAAACTGTACCATGCTCCATATGCAGTCACACCAAAATCAGGTGCAATTATAGCAAGATATCAATAGTTTGAATAGGTGGGCAGAAAAGTGCCATATGAAATTTAGTCCAGAGAAGTGTAATGCAATGAATTTGGGAAGAACAAACTAAAAAAGGCAATGCATAATGCACTGTAGGATATGAAGAAATGTAGAGTGAGAGCGACATGCTCATAAGTTACTGAAGGTAACGATTAAAGAAGCATGGCAGCTAACTGGAGCGTCCACACGCTACATTCAGCGTGCAGACCCATTTACATCCACTTTCGGAAACTGCTGCCATGCGACAACGTCAGAGGTTTGCACAGCAGCAGTAAAAATTAGAGGGAATGTATCCTGAAGGTAGCAGAATAGGCAAATAAAGCCGCCAAGGCAGCATAGAACATAGAACATAGAACATTACAGCGCAGTACAGGCCCTTCGGCCCTCAATGTTGCGCCGACCTGTGAAACCAATCTGAAGCCCATCTAACCTAAACTATTCCATTATCATCCATATGTTTATCCAATGACCATTTAAATGCCCTTAAAGTGGGCGAGTCTACTATTTTTGCAGGCAGGGCATTCCACACCCTTACTACTCTGAGTAAAGAACCTACCTCTGACATCTGTCCTATATCTATCACCCCTCAATTTAAAGCTATGTCCCCTCGTGCTAGCCATCACCATCCGAGGAAAAAGGCTCCCACTGTCCACCCTATCTAATCCTCTGATCATCTTGTATGTCTCTATCAAGTCACCTCTTAACCTTCTTCTCTCTAATGAAAACAGCCTCAAGACCCTCAGCCTTTCCTCATAAGACCTTCCCTCCATACCAGGCAACATCCTGGTAAATCTCCCCTGCACCCTTTCCAATGCTTCCACATCCTTCCTATAATGCGGTGACCAGAACTGTACGCAATACTCCATGTGCGGCCGCACCAGAGTTTTGTACAGCTGCAACATGACCTCATGGCTCCGAAACTCAATCCCTCTACCAATAAAACCTAACATACTGTACGCCTGCCTAACAACGCTATCAACCTGGGTGGCAACTTTCATGTGATCTATGCACATGATATTTTTCAGGATATTTTTCTTTATTGGCTGAGGCATAGAGTAGGGATGTTAAAACCCAAACATTATAAAACACTAATTAGACAGTAGCAGAAAACAATTAAGCAGGTCACTGTGTATGCTTGTAGTCATTTTTAGGAAGGACGTAATTCTGCCAGGGAAGCTAAAGAAAAAACCTACAATAATTTTTTTTCAGAAAGAAAATTTTAACAATAAGGAAAGGTTGACCAAGTTGTGATTTTGGTCTTTGGAACAGAGGATATTGAGATGAGATTTGAGGTTGAAAAAAAATCACATAGGGCCTGGAATGAGTAGATATGAAGGATGTTCTCTGTTAGCAGACAAGTCAAGACCAGAAGGTTTAGACATGAAGTATTTAGAATGATTAGAGGTGACTTGTGAACAATGTCTTATTTTCCCAAGAGGGGGAGTGGGAGTCTGGAATTTACTGACTAAAAAGGTAATAGAATTTGAAATATATCACATATTTTGAAAATATTTGGAAATACATTTGAAGTGATATAATTCAAACAGCCATGAACAAACAGCTGCAAAGTAGAATTAAGCATTTTTTTTCCTCCATAAGAGATAGGTGTGCTTTCCTATCCCAATCACCTGGATAGCTCTTTTCCGGCCAACACAAACCTGATATAGTTCAAATGCTTACTTCTGTGACATAACATTTCTATGGCAGGATCATCTTCTTATTCAAGGATTCAGATAACAAACTATAAGTGTGTCACATCTCCACTCACTGGTAGAGCTGCTGGCCACGCACAATATAGTGGCGATCAGTCAATGTGAAATTCACAGACAAGAGCCCCAGCCAATAACACAGAAGGGTCAAACAAGAAGTCATCCTCTTGTCCTACGGGGTAAAAATTCAGCAATCATATTTCAACAGCATTGGATAGGCTTTCATTCCTCACTATCAAGCAGCATTTGTCTGATTGATACAAACCCTGGATCGGCTGGTACTTCCTCTGTAACATATCATAGGAGATCTTGCAAGGTCCTCATTCTGGAGAGAACTTGCATGCAATTGGGATGTCATAGATTTGCCTGATGCATTGCTCTATTGCCCTGGTCATACCCTTGACCCATCTCACATCACCCTTGACCAAGAATCATTCACTATAATCAATCAGCATTAGCACACTGGTCTACCCTGTTACCATCAGACTGGCACGTGTACTCCTCAAATCTCCATCTATCCTTCTTGGTCTGCCCTCTGATATCATCAACTCTCAGGATCTCACAATTGACTTCAATGTGTAATCCTTGATCGCCCACAGCTATGCATGACCTGCTGCATGTTGACATTGACCTTTCTTGTCTTTTCTAAACCTTTGCCAGCTTCCTCCCTCTATGCCAATGAGTCCTTGTGGGGCTGCAACTTCCCTTGATCAGCTATGTCCCTTGCCCCTTTCACATGCACCAAATGATCTCAATGCAATGAAATGCTAGGTTCAACAAAGTTCCCATTTAAGAACAGCACCTCCTACTCAATCTAATCCACCTAGAAGACTACCTCATCTCCAACACCTTTATCAAGTCATGAATTGGAAGGCACATTTTTATCATTTGCTGCATACTTAATTGCAGAGGCAAAATTTAATCTGAAAAACGTGTTAAAATGCACACATATGGTATGCTAACTTATTGCTCATCACTGGAAAACACATTTCACCCTCAATCTATGGCCAAGTTAATAATCAACTTTCATCCCACCATTGAGAAGCTAACATTTAACTTAAACCTCAGTTAAGTGCTTCCAATGGCCTCATTCTCCACTCCTGGGAGGTTCATGCGATTCTGCCCCATGATTTTGTAGTACTTAAAAATGAAAAGAAAACAAAAAATGTTTAACAGGAAAATGTGGGATAATTGATAAACTAATTAACAGGGGACAAAATCTCTGGTTCAGATAAATTGTGTATATTAAGAAAAAATTGAAAAGGGAATATAATGCTGCTGCATTTGGTGTGCAGGTACCACAACTACAGACCTATGACTTGCAAAAACAACAACTTTTATTGGCAGAAACTCCCAAAAACCACAGCTAGTTGTCAGCAATAGGAAATATCATGTGGAAGATACCAAAATACCTTCAAAAAGATACAGTTTATGGCCTAATTACTTTGGTCAGAACATATACAGTTAAGCAACATGTAGCAGAATGGTACCAAGCTGGCTACAATGCAGAAAAATAGTGAACAGCTAAAGATAATTACTCAGACTGGCAAATGTTGCAAACCGGTTCTTCACAAGGTTTGGTCAGTGACCAATGCTGTTCACTAGAAAAGGTACACAAATAATTCACTGAAATAAATGGAAAAGCCAAAATATCCTCCAACTTAATGAGCATACAGAAAGAAATTTGAGGCCTGACTTAGATAATTAATTACAATGTTAAATTCTTAGAAAGTAAGGGATAACAAGCCACCATCTCAAGGTTACCTGCTAACCTTCGTCAGTGTAGTTTTTTTTAGAGCAGGGGTTGGAAAGCTGTGTATCGAGCTTCAAACAGAGAATAGTGAGAACAGAGTTACAAGGTAATAGCTCAGCCCAGGAATTTAGAAAGGAAAGGAAAACTGGAGATAGAGCTGTAATTTAAAAAGTTTAAGTAATTTTAAAAAAACAGAGTTTTTAAAATCAAAATGCAGTGATAGATTTAAGATGGATGAGTTTATATCTGACAGCAGAATGAAAGTAAATCAAAACCTGCTGAATTTGAAGCTGTTCCTGTTGTTTAGGAGAATCTTAGAAAACAAAATTAGGAATGAAGAAGAATGTCAAACTGAAAATTAAGCTGGCAGGGAACAGCTTATACATTTCAGATCAGATTGGCTGCTCCAAGAAAAAATGACAGCGCATGTTTGACCAATCACACCAAAGTTTGGTGTGGTCTTCATGGAAAAAAAAACATTTTAAATAGATGAATGGTTACTTACTAACTCAATATTTTTAATAGATGTGCTAAAGGCATCAAAACAAACAGCCATCCATAGACAGCTACTTTTTTTTGGACAAAGTTCCTGAGTGCACTTCATAGTGCTCGCACTTAACATTTCTAACATAGCTCAATACACATAATGCACAATCTATTTTGTGTATTACTCACAGAAACAAATGGATCTGCACAGGGAAATTACTGTTCATTTCGGGCACTGAGAAAGGATATGATCTTCCAGCAGATGTTTAATTTGTTGTTGATCTCAGCAGCCTGAGCATGACGTCTTTCCTCTTCCATCTGCTTTAGGTTTTCTGTACATAGCATTTTGCTTGATGTTGGAAGTGTTTCAAAGTTGAACTTGTCAACCTGTATGGCCATCCTGCAAGACAAAATAAATCAAACTCACTTAGAATACAACTGCATTGACATTTGGTAGACTTGACTGCATGAAATTCTACAGACTTAAGTCTAGAAGCCTTGCATGTACGTTTCTCAACCTGTTTGGTTAGACCATTGAATGGGTACTGAAGGCTCTCACTTCAAAATTCAGCATATATCTTACTTCTGGAATCTGATCATATGTTTACCTACTTATGTTAATTCAGAAAAAAAATCAATAATTACACAATCTTTGGAACAATTATTGTTTCCAAAGGGCTGACAGTAAAAGACTGCCTTGAATACAAGCAATGCATGTGAGCTAAGGTCTATCAAAACAATATGTCTCACAAGCTTGACTTATAGTGTTGCATGACAGAATTTCAAATGTTAAGGTTTGTACTGTAACAAATTAAAAGCAGGATTGACTAAATATTAATTAGTATACAACAGTCATCTTAAATACGGAACAGATAACCTTTATTAATGTTCTAATGTAACTGGTAACCCGAAGCCACATGTAGAAAAGCCATTTTACATCTTGCTCTGCACAGGATTACAGCTTCTCAGAGTACAGTCCACAGTCGATTCACATTGCTCCACTTTTCCACGTCAGAATATCAAGAGACTACTGAAAGTAGTTTTCAAACAATTCATGAAACAACTAGCAGCAGTAAAGCCACTTAAGCAATTACTCATCTCAACATTACCAGAGCATATCTTCCAGAATTTTCAGAGTCCCATGGAATGTAATTCTAGCACATGTAAAAACATGCAATATGGCAAAGATCAATGGTAACCCAGAGGATTGGGAACATTTTAAAAGCAAAAGAAGATCAAACAAAATTAAAGAAGAAAATAAGGTTTGAGGTAAACTTGCAACTATTATCAAGATAAATAGCAAGAACTTATGTCACTATATAAAAAGGATGGCAGAGGCCAAAGTGAACCTACACTGGAGCCAGAATTATTTGCAAAATATATTAATGGATGACAGAAGTGAATGTACCCCATCACCAAGTTTGCAGATGACACACAAATGGTGGTAAGGTAAGTAGTGAGAATGACAGGGCATATGGAAGGATATTGATAAATTAAGCAAGTGGGCTAAAGCGTGGCAGATGGAATGTAATGTGTGAACATGTGACAATATGCACGTTGTCAGAAAGAACAGAGGAGCTGAATACTACTTTAAATGGAGAAAAATTGAAGACACCAGAGGAATTTGAGAGTCCTTGTGTGTAAATCACAAAACGGCAGCATACAAGCTCAGCAGGTCATAGGGAAGGCAAATGGAACATTGTCCTTTATTTGAAAGGGAATGATATATAAAAATAAGAAGTTTTGGTAAAACTATACAAGGCACTCGATAGACCATGCCTGGAATACTGTGAACAATTTTGGTCCCCATATCTAAGGAGAGATACACTGGTATTGGAGGCAGTCCAGAGAAGGTTCACTCAGTTGGTCCCAGGTTTGAAGAGATTTTCTTATGGAGGAGTGGTTGAGTTGGTTGGGCCTGTATTCATTGCAGTTTACAAAAGTAACAGGAGTCCTTCTTGAAACATACAAGATTCTTCAGGGCCTTGGCAGGGTAGATGCAAAAAGGTTGTTTCTCTTTTTGGGCAACTCTAGGGCCAGAGGCATAATCTCAGAGTAAGGGGTGACATAGTTAGGACAGAGATGAGGAGGAATTTCTTCTCTTGGAAAGTAATCCATCAGTGGAATTCTTTACCAGAGAGGACTTTAAAGGCTGGATTCTTAAGTATATTTAAAGGTGAGATAGACAGATTTTAATAAGTAAGGGAATCAAGGATTATAGGAAAAGGTGGTGAGAATTATCAGATCAGCTATTGAATGGTGAAGCAGATCAGAGAATATAATGGTCTTCTGCTCCTACATCTTATCATCTATGGACAGTAAAATTTCTCCATGGCCCATGAATGAGATGGATCAGTAACTACAGGAATGTGAAAAGTTGTTGGAAAGAATAGAGTGTAAAGGCAAAGACACTCAGCTAGAAAGATTCAATCAAACAAGTTGCTGGTATTGATTCTTAAAACAAAGCATAGTAATTGTGCGCGAGTAGTGAGATCAGGAATTGAGCTGCTCAACTGTCACCATATAGGAAATCCTACCCCTAATCATGTGGATAGTAATGTGGAATTCCCTCAATGAAAGAAAAGTACCTTCATGGAGTTGTTAATGACTGTGTGAAATATTACTCAACATAAAAATAACAGTACTGCATATCAATTCAGAAGTTTGATACCTTTCTTATTCTGGAATCCTATAACCATAGAAATGTACCATAGATGGGGCCATTTAGTTAATTGAGACTGCACTGACAAAAATTACTCTAAGTCCACTCTAATCCCACTTTCCACAGTTTTGCTTGTTAAGACACTTCAAATGCACATCCCAAACACTTTTTAAAGGTTCCCACCACAACTACCCTCCTATAACCCACTGGGTGAAAAGAACTTTCCTCAAATCCCCACTAAACATCCGGCTGTTCACCTTGAAGTGTCTGCTCCTCTAACTATAGAACTCCCTATTACTATTGTTCCACTTCCCTTCTTCCTCCACTCCTGTACTGTCAGATCACTTGTGGTGCCAGAAGCTTGGCCCTGTCTGCATTCCATTGAAAAGCCAGCTCTCTCATCAGCTTCTAAAATGGATTATCAATTTGTGAAGGGACCACAGGAGACTCTTGCACTACCTGCTTGATTCTCTGACTCCCTGGTGGACACCCATTCCCTTCTTTCCTCCATTCCCTGAGCTGTGTTGTGACCACCTCTGTAAGCATGCTATCCATATAACTCAGTCTCACAGATGTTCCAGTGGTTCCTGCTGATGCTCAAGCTCAAACACAGAGCTCAAGTTTCTGTAGTTGGGAGCACTTCCTGCAAAAAATGGTCATCCAGGACACTGATAGGGTCCATGACTTACCACATGACAAGTCACACATTCCAGCTAAACTCACTTGTCATGACTTAAACTTGAACTTACTTAGATGTAGTTGCTAACTTTTCTAAAGACTTAAAGCTACTCCCTTTATGTTAACGTCAGTTTCCTTCTCTTAATCTGACATTAAATTATTCCTGGTGTTTCTCAGTTAATCTCTCAATTATTTCCCAGTTCTTGGGCCTTGGTCTGCCCCATATGCAACTTATCTACTACTTCAACAAGCTGTCACATTTACCAAACTGCCACACTCCAAACGCTGCAGGTTGTGCTTTATGCTGCTTGCTCAGAGGTCTCATTTTTTAAATTCTGTCTTAGCTGCTTCAGGAACTGGTTTAAAAGAGATTATCTGTTAGCCCCAGTTAACTGTCCAAGCTACAGCAGTCCCAGTCCTAGGATAGGTTGTTTGTACTCTCCTCAACCTTAAAGAGACTTAATTGCATACCCTTTAGAATTAAACCCTCCAAAACATTGCAGAGGCTAACTGCCAGGTCTCAGATACCGCCTCCTATCTCCCCCTCGACCATGACCATGGAACATCAGGCCATTATGTCCACGACCATCACCAACACCATTTCATCTGGTGACCTCCCCACGGTCTCCAAACTCAGTCTCCGAAACCCCTACAGCTCGCTACTACTTCCTTCACAAAATCAACAAACAGGACTGCCCGGGCAGACCCATTGTTTCTGCCTGCTCCTGTCCCACAGAACTTACCTCTTCCTACGTTGGTATTTTCTCCTCTTGTTTGGTCCCTCCCCACTTACATCCACTATTCCTCGGATGCTTTAGGTCAGTTTCAGAACTTCAGTTTGCGGGCTCCAGCCACCTGCTCTTTACCATAAACATGCACATTACACATCCATTCCCTATCAAGATAGTCTCAGGGCTCTCTGCTTCTTCCTGGAAGAAAAGGCCTGAACCATCCCTACCCACTACCACCTTCCTCCAGCTGGCCGAGCTCATCTTCCCTTTCAATTCCTCTCATTTCTTCAGGTCAGAGGGGTTGCCGTGGGCCCCAGTTATACCTGTCCCTTTGTGGGGTTCTGGAAACATTCCTTGTTCCAGTCCTATTGCGGCCCCCACCCATAACGCTTTCTCCAGTAGATCAATGATGTCATCAACGCTGCTTCCCTCTCAACAGAATTGGAAAAGTTTATCAATTTCACTTCCAATTTCTACCCCACTCTCAACTTCACATGGCTCATCTCTGACTCCTCCCTTCTCTTCCTCAATCTCTCCGTTTCCATTTCTAGGGAAAGGCTGGCCATTGATATCCACTACAAACCAGCTGATTCCCACAGTTAAAAACCGAAAGAACTGGAGATGCTGCTAATCAGGAACAAAAACAGAAGTTGCTGCAAAAGCTTAGCAGGTCTGGTAGCATCTGTGAAGTAAAAATTAGAGTTAATGTTTCTGGTGACCCTTCCATAGAGGACCCAAAACGTTCACACTGATTTTTACCTCACAGATGCTGCCAGACCGGCCGAGCTTTTCCAGAAACTTCTGATTCTCTCAATTACCAGGATTATACATCCTCACACCTTGTAAAGACTCTATTCCATTCTCCCAGTTCCTCCACATCCGTCTCATCTGTTCTGATGATGCCAACTTCAACAAAGGGGCCTCCGAAATGTCCAGCTTCTTCCTCAACTGAGGGTTCCTTAGCACCATAGGTGACAGGGCCTTCAGCCGGGTCCAACCCACTTCAGCCCTCGTCTCCTCTCTTCCCTCTCACAACAGCAATAGGGTCCCCTTTGTCCTCACCTACCATCCCACAAGCATCCAGAGGATCATTTGTCATCATTGCCACCACAGCCAATGGGATGCCACCATCAGATACATTTTCCTGTCCCCTCCCATCAGTCTTCTAGAAGGACCATTCCCTCTGCAACACCCTAGTCCACTCCTCCTTCACTCCCAACACCTTCCCAAAGCCCCATGACATCTTCCCCTGCAACCACAGAAGATGTCCTTTTACTTCCTCCCTCCTCTGTATCCAGAGTCCCAAACACACCTTTAAGGTGAAGCAGC